GGTTTAGGGTTTAGGGGTGTAGGCCCTGACCCCCAAGGTGCTTTGCTTGTGGGCTGACTCCCAAAATGCGCTGCTGTTAAGGGTCGAGGGTTCACAGTGAGGTTTGCTGTCTTGCGGTTACCGTGATCATTGCCGAGGGAATCAAAATCGAGTTTCAATTCATCTGCCCAGGCCTGCGCCAGAAGCATCCATCTAGTCCTATTTGTGAGCATATGATGTTTCGAGAATCTCTGTCGGTTGCCTTGCCTTCCGGATTTCCTGGAAGCAGCTGCGTGCACTGTGTCTAGCTTGCTAAGGGCCGCTCAGAGGTACACTAGCACAGAGCAGGGCCCATCTCCACAAGACAACAGGTGCTGTCCCACTGACTCCACGGCACGTCGAGTGGCTGGAGGCTGCAATGCCTACACTGACCCTAAACCCTAAACCCCAAACCGCCTGCACGCTTTCACCTCCAACCCCATACTCCAGACCCACAAACTTCATCCCTCAACCGGAACCCCCATAGCGTCGGGGTTCCACCACATCCTAAGCACAGACACATTGTGCTTTGAAGCCGCTAACAGGCTCCTTAAAGATTTACGGCTAGCCTCCCAAAGAAGGGCCCTCCTTCTACAGGATGTGTAGCAACTAGGGGAGCCCAGCGTTTCATTTATCCAAGATGAAGATCAAATAGATGTGCAACGCTGTTTCCGGGCACGTACAGTATCGGATTTCCTGAATTGCAATCAGCGACGATTTCCTGAACTTTCAGATTTGAGTGTTGCGTAACAAGTTGCTTCTCCGCATCGAGTTCGTTCGCACAGGAACTGGTTTTGGCCATGGGTCAGCTACTGATCCTCCACGTCCCGATGCTATCAGCTTGAGCTACTGATCCTTCCCAAACATCCCGAGACCATGGGACCAGACCAAGCAACCGACGCAGGCTTTGTGGCAACAATCAGCATGTGTGCGAATACAGTTTCACGAGTTGTTGACAGCTTGAGCCGTCGTTTACGGCAAAATTCCCTAAACCCTAAACCCTAAACCCTCAACCCTAAACCCAGTCGGACCTTGCTTGCTAGAAGTGGAATGTCCCAAACAGCTGGGGCCCCGCCCCCTGTAGCTTTCGTTGAGTGGGATTTAAGTGAAGTTCAGGGTTCGGCGGGCTGTAGGGTTTCGTGCATCGTTTTGGATTGGGGTTCTGGGGTTTTGGGAATGTCTCCTTCGGGCCGGGACATAGGACCCAGAGAACCCAACACCCCTTAGTCAAGGAATGTACCTTAAATCACAATATTAAGGACCCTATAATTTAAGGTATATTTCTTAATTAAGGGGTCTTGGGTTCTCTGGGGATGT